CCCTCGTCCACACCCGTCCTGCACTTTGTTGGTAAAGCAGTGTAATTGGTTTAAGCCCGGAGGCTGGGAGGGGGGAGTGAAATGAAGTGGGGGTTTAACCCCCTTTGAAAGAGGAAAACGGAAAAATAGGCGGGGCCGGGTGAACTTGTGTTGGCTCTAGATGGGAAACGCGCCCAGGAGGAGGGCTGGGGGCGTTGGCGTCCGAGCTCTGGCGTGCAGGGCCCTGTCGGCTACTCGATCCCGGGGTCCCTACCCGTGTGCACCCACCACTTAGCCGGGAGGCCTGGGCTACGGCCCATTCTCGCGCCCCCCGGCCCTTTTGCCCACCCCGCTCCCATCCTCCTAGTTCCAGACCCAAAGTTCAACCCTGGGAGATTGGAGAGTCCAGACGTCCCCTTCACCACCCCCAGACTAAAGGCTAGAAAAGGGAAAAAGAGCCACTTTCGCCCTGTCACTAGAAATCCAGCTAAGTGAGTCAGCCGAGCCGAATGACGTTAGGCTGAACCGGGCTCCTGGCTAGCAGAGAGGAGGCGCAGCCACGAAACCCGTACCTGCGGCTAAGAGCAGGTGAGTCAGGGCACCGTTTTATATCTTTATGACATAACTTATTAATTTTTTTTTTCCGCCTCGGTCCGCTCCACTCCCCTTGTCATCTGTAGCGATCATAAAGAGGAAGAAACTGAGAGCAGATGTCTGTGTGATAGGGCAGGCGGGCCCGAGTCGGGCAGTCCTCCCTCCGCCCGGCTCCTCCTCCTGCCCCCCTTTCCTCAGCCTCGGGGACTGAGAGGGAGGCGACCGTCTGGTTTCTGATAGGGAAAGGTCAGGAGGAGGAGACATCGCCCCAAACGCGAGCGTTAGCTGGGAAATCCTGGGCGCGGACGCGGGAACCCAACTGCTGGGTTAAAGGGTTACCAGGCTAAAGCCAGAGGTGTACCACGCCGGTCTGGTCTCTGACCTGGACGGGCATGACTAGGACGCCACGCGGTCGCTTGGGTCCCAATCTGTCACGGACGTGGATGAGAAATTCTCCCCTAGTCAAAACTTCTCGTCCCCTGTGAGGCCCAGGGTAGCATATTGTCCAGAAGTCATAGGGAGAGGGACCAACTAGTGTGACTGGGTGATAAACCCTGAGCTGGCGATGGCTGGAAGATAGTGCATGTGTGTGCCTAAGTGAGTGTGTGCTTGTGTGTTAAGTAGCAATATAAAATAAAATCTTTCTAAAGTGACTGAGAATCCACACAAATATTCTTGTTTTGCAAAGTTTTAAAAAATGTTATTAATCTCATTTTGAGAAATGTGTTTTAACTTGTCCCCAAAACAGATACCTTCTTTTCCCCCCCTTGTTCTTTGTTCTTTTACATGGTTCTTCCTTGAAATCTGGCAAGAGAATCACGTTAAATCCTTGAACTAAGCAAATCTCTTAAATCAGCAGGGGAGCAGGAGAGGGTGAAGATGTGCAGTTAAGGAAATAAAAAAGATAAAAGCATTGGATTACAATTCCCTTTTAAAAAACAACCCCCCCCCAAAAAAAAGGGTGTGTATGTGTGTCTCGTTCTAAGAAAAGGAATGAGAGTGAAACTAAATCCACCTGGAATTTAGTGCAGGAGCCCTCCCCAAAGCGGCCTACCCCTGTGACTGCAAGTCTATCACAGTTTGTGTAAATGTATCTGTGAATGTGTGGGTGTGCACACATGTCTGATGGACTAATTCTTTTGTGCAAAGTTCCCATCAGCTAAGCATCCGTGTACTCAGGACCTCTGTTTCATTTGTAAAGTACACGGATGCCTAGCTTCCTCAGTCTGATCCCGAAGGACTTTCATTGCTAATGATTCTTCCTTGTTCCTTCTCACGATAATTCTCCAACATCTTGGCACTTCAACAAAGTCAAGCATGACTAGGGTATTTTCTGAGGATAGTAACAACTTTATAATAGCTTTAAGGAGAAAAAAATAAAGAATCAGCGTTACCTTAAAGAGGATCAATTAGAGTATCAAACACTCTTGGTCTTTTAGCCTATTGCCCCAAACTACTAGGTCTCAGCTTTTTTGTTAAAGTAAATTAATGGAGAAAATAAAAAGCCAAAACCCGTTGTCCACATTATAGCCCAAGCGAAGTTTTAACCCAGCTCCTTCAGGGCCTAAGATCAACGGTGCAGAGTGGACGCTCGGTATCCGCCAGCTTTCGAGCCTTGATTCACCTCGGGGATTCCTGGGCCGGAGGCCCGGGGACCGGATTCCTGCGGTCACAGCGCCTCCTGTCGTGGGGCCGGAGCTCTGAATTCTCCGGCGGACGCCCCTTGCGAGCCCTGTCAGGCCAGACAGGCTGGAACCCTGCACGTTTTCCTCAGGCAACGGTTTTGGTTGTTGGAGCTGACTGCCCGAGGGCAAGAAGCAGGTAAGGCAGGCAGCTCTGTTAGGTCCCCAGCCTCTCTCCACCTCTGTGGCGGCCTCTCAAGACACCTAAAACCAAGGAGGTGAAGCACTAGTGTACCTAGAGAGCAGCCAGCCAGTTTTCCCGAGGTTTAAAAGCTAATCAGCAGGACCGTATTGGGTCTTTCAGTTGGAAAAAATTCTAACAAAGCTGCTGCTGCCTTGGTCAGTCGGCGGGCAAGGTGACGTGCCCAGCTGGCCCAATCTGCTCTTATCAACCTCTTTCACCAATAGAGCCTATCATTATGCTTTGCAAAGACTGTGCTGCTCTTTCGGGGGGAATTAGACCGGTCTTCAGCTACTGGGAGGCTGGATCGACTCGGGGCAGGGAAGCCACAAGGGAGCCACGAGAGCGTCCCTGGCCAAATTCGCCTAGATGAGGACCTGTCTGCGGGAGGTGGGCGGCCTAGGTAATGGAGAGGGCGGGCTACTCGGGCGGAGGAAGCCCGGGAGGCCGAAGACTTTGGGTGTGCGCGGGTTCTCCAGGCTTCCCGGAAGCTGAGCCTGTCGAGCCCGAAGGGACTGCTCCCTGCACAGTCCGGCCGGAGGTGGGGCGGCGCACACACCGCTGACCAGAGTCGGCCAACTGTGCTTTCCTTTCCCAGCATTACCTGGCCAAGAGCCTATTCCGCAGCCTTCACTGGGGCGGGGGGAAGCAAAGGGTGATGACCGTGAAAGGTGGAACCAGAGGTTTGCACCTAGGGTCTAATCGGCGGCCTCCGGCGGTGCCAGGATCCGTCCCGCTTAGCGGGATCTCGCAGTGGGCGGAGAGCAGCGCCTGGGCGCAGTGGGGCTCTGCGGTGCCACCTGGAGCTTCCCGAGGGCTTCCCTCTCTGGCTCCCCCTAGCCTGCCCCTTTTCTCCTCCGGTCCTCCCCCGACGGGGCTGTGGCGAGGTCTCAGCCGCCGTGGGCCGGGTCACGCTCGGGCACGATGATCTGAGCTCCCCTGAAAGTCCCCATCCTCACCCGGATAAGCTTAAATCTTCCTGAGGGGGAGAATGATACGCAAAGAAAGCTGAGACCTGTTGCCTTTGTCGCTGTTGAAAACCTACCCCGACTGGGACCCGGGTCAGTTTAGGACTGAGGAAGGCCTGGGACGTTGAAAGCAACAGCTCCCACTTGTAGGTTCCCGTACTTCGTCAACCGAGGTGTGTGCCCGGCCTAGGGAAGGAGTCTGGGCGCAGCGAGAGGATGGACCCCAGAGCAGCCTCCAGATTCCTGCCCGCAAGTGCGGGCGGCGCGGCGGCCAAGAGTTGCGCGCCCCATGGCTGGCCGCACCAGTGTGAGCGGGCCAGAAAGTCTTGCCAGGGAAGAAACCTGGGTCCCAGACAGCATTCAAACTCCTGTTCCCCCTCTGCCTCTCTCAACCTTTCTTCTCCTCTCCTTTTGTTTCTCCTTACTTCCTCCCTCTTTCCTTTCTTTGCATTATTAAATCATTAATTAGAGGATTAATTTACAACTTGGTGGGGGGGGGGCTGGGACCACCTGGCGGGTTTCTTCGCGTCTTTGGCCCTGGGGATGGGTGGAGGGGTAGGGTACCCCCCTCATACACACCCAGGGTTTTCGCTTACTTTACTGGAAAATAATAATTTTAAAATCCCAGTTCTTCTTCCATGGGTTTGTCACTTTCCCTACTGCCACCGCTGCGGCTGCGGGGTTTCTGAGCGGCCCCAGGCGTACTCCTGGCTCTCACGCAGCCGGATGTCGAAGCCGGAGCTGCGCTCCACCCGACCTCACCCGTAGGCGACAAAACCGTTTCGCTGGCGGATAGTGATCGAAGCTTTGCCAAAATCAACTCACATTTTCATGTATTCAAATGAGCAAGGTTGGGAAGGGCGACTTCCCTCCTGGGTAGTTACCAGCCTTGGAAGGAAGGAGTGTCTAGAGCAATCCCGAGCCCAGGGAGCAGACGAGGTACCCCACCCCCAACTTCTCCCCAAGCCTGGGTCCCTGCGGCTGTTGCACGTTTCCTGTTGTCGTGTCCTTCCAGTTACGGCTGTTTTATTCACCTCGGTCAGTGCCAACTCCACATGACCAGTCCAAGCAGGACCCTTCCTCACTTCTCCGCGCTTCCTTAGGCGGGTCATTTCCCCTCGGTGGTGCCCACACTTGTCCTCTATTTCCGTCTACCTGAAAACTGCTGGGGAGGGACTGGAAACGCACGCTTCACACGCAGGGTTGGAAAATTAAGGGGAACCGTGGCACCTCTTTGGTCTGAGTCAGAGAAGAAAAGAACGGGTGGCTGAGGCCCTTCAGTGTGCCACAGACTGGGCGGGGCACTTTGAGATCCTAGCTTGTCCCCACCAGTTGCTCCGGTGTGCAGGAGCTAGGAAACTGGAAGCCTGGGCAGGGGTAAATCAGCCCCTTAATCCCTCCCTGTGGGCAGAAGCCTGTGCTAATGGTCGACAGAGTTGGAAGCTCAGAATTTCGGAAGATTTAACGAATTTCATCTCTTGCTTCGACGCTAGCAGCTTAAACTTCACTTTTTCCTGAGCTGCTGCGGCGTCCTTAGCCTCTCCCTCCCAGTTACCTTCACTCCCCGCCCACCTCACACCCAGGAGCTGTGGCAGGACCCTTAGTCTTCCCTAGTGCCTTAACTTTGGCTATTCAAATGTGATCGCACTCAAATTTATAGAGCTTGATATAATAGCTGCTTTTGTAACAAGCATACAAATAATATCCTACACTTGGAAAAAAAATGCATTCTATCTAGTATTTTGTCATGGCATTAGCTTCCTGATTTTCCCCTACTCTCAATTTTAAAATTGTTCATTGGAGTAATTGTTCATTGGAGTAATTAAAAATACAAACTTATTGATAAGCCTATAAAGAGGTTACATTGTCTATTTAAAATTAAAATTTAGTGGGAGCACTGTCGGTTGGCTGCTTCTGGACTTTTTGCAGCTATTCCAGAGCTAAAGTCAGATGAAAGTTTTGTTTGAAAAACAGTGCATTTGTGTGAAGTTTGCTGTTCTCTGTCCCTTGGGCTACAAGGCAAAACCAGTGCTTAGGTCTCACTGCAGTGAGTTTGCTTCTAACAGAAACACTATGAACAGGCCGGCCTTCCTGGTGGCATTCACTCTCAGGGATACTAGATTTTCAGGAATTTGGGCCACTTTCTGAATGCTTTCTCCCTGACACCCACTATAAACGGATCACAGTAAGGAAATCTTGTGGCCTGTTCCAGTTGCCACCATCAAGTATTAACTGTGGCTGCAAGTTCTGCATACAACCTCACTGGTTCCCCATGAGGCCTGTGCCAACCTCCTCAACTGACCTAGACCTGCCCTTTCCAGGGCAGTCCATCTCTTGCTCTAGATTCCTGCCAGGCTCTTATGGTTCCCTGACAGCAAATTCCCTTTCCTTCTTCTTCATTCCCTGCCTCTCCCACTGGACTGGCAGCTCAGTGAGGACAGGGACTACTGCCCCACCCCTCCCCACCTGGCACATAATAGACTTGCGATAAAGATTGTTGAGTCAATCAATGAACTAACTACTGCAGCCCAGAGACTGGCCACGCAGGGGTTATTGGAGAAGGATGCCAGAGTCTAGAAACCATACCCACTGTCTCCCAAGTGACCAAATAAGGCAGTCATCTCAGCCCGCTGTTCCGGGAAAACAAAGGGCTTGAGGATGGGCGGGCGAATGAATGAACAGAAGGATGGGCGCTTCTGGTAAAACGGACAGAGTTTTAGAGTTCCTGGGACCATCCAGCGGACCTCGCTCTCTTTTTGGCTCCCCTCCCCGGGCAGAATCACTGGCCGTGCTTTGCTCAACTAGGAAGGTGGACAGGTGACCCAAGGTAAATGTTTCACTATTCCCGTATGTGAGATGGCAGCAGCCGTGCGTTTCAACAGCAAGTATTGATTAAAAGTTAAAGAACCCCGCCAACTTTCCATCACTGAAGGGTTTCATTCAGAGATGTAAAGGAAACGTCTGTGTTTAAGTATGTTTAAATCGTCAAACAACGAGGCCGAGTCCACGCAGTGGAAGGGAAAAGCCTTGCAGCTGAGCTCTCAGTTGGTCCCAGCTTGTGTGCCCAGGCTTCCTGTGGGCAGCGCTCGCCATGCCCGCCCCCGCGCTGGGGGGCACCTGGCGCTCTGGGCACCCGTGGGGCCCAGGTGGCGCAGCGTGAGCCATGAGTATGATTCTCAGAGGCGTGGGCGGCTTAGCCGGCCGTGGCAGTGCCAGAACTCCCGAAATTACCGGGCATCAATCTTAATTGTCACCTCATCTTTAGGCTACAAAGCATTTTATTTCACACGCTTCCCCTATCTAATGTAATGATTTACTTAAAGGACTACCAAACCCTCTCAGAACCTGCCGTGTTGTTGCAAGGTATTAACTGCAGACCACGCTTGTCAACTTCTTCTGAAGTCGTATTTGCGGTGAAAACAGGTGTTGAGGGAGTCACTAGCGGTAGGAAGCATGTCTAGCTTCTCTTACAGCAAGTACGCAGTAGTCACCGGGATGCAACTTGGCTGCGCGATGCCCCAGCTGCCTCTGGGGTCCTCCGGGGGTCCCACCCTCTGCACCCGGCGGGGGTTGAGCTCACCCCCTGGGTCCTGTCTCCGCTGGCTTTCTGACTGCGCCCTCTTCCCACGGGGGCGCCCACCAAGACCTTGGTACCCATGGCTGGCTGGGGAGAGGCTGGGACCTGGGTCGAGCTCGACGCCCCTTGGAGGCTCAAGATTTGAGTTCCAGGAACTCTGATGTAAGTGTATTTTGTTTTGAGAAACTTCTATGATGCATGGGGAGGTGGATGGATGCCTCTTTCCTCGCCCCACTGGCCTCCTTCTGCTCCAAATACCTTCCATTGTGAGTCTTTGCTCTCCTCTGACCTTCTTGTGACCCCTTTCCCTACATCCCTGCCTGAAGAAGTGGTTTCAGTAAATAAAGCCTAGTGCTGGGGCTGAAGGTCGGTTTACACTGGGGCAAGAGCTTCTAAAACTCCTGCAGGTGCAGAAATGGGACTAAGCCTGGCCACTGCTCCAAGAGATGAGAGAGGGAGGTGGAGAGGGTGGAAGAGGCTGCGAGGCAATGCAGAGAGAGCTTTTGGGTGAGGGAATGGTCAGGAGCTTGGCCTGGGTCCTACTGACTTCATATTTTCTGGGGAACCAGAGCAGATCCTCAGGGTCTCTGCTTCCTCCATTTCCCAATGGAGAACGTGGCCCCAGTGGCTGGGTCTGGCAGCCACAGTGATCAGTTGTGGGAATGAAGCCTGGAGTGGCTGGCACTTCTCACAGGGACAAGACTTAAAGGACACTACCAGAATAAAGCCTGACAGTCCCATCCCGGAACCTAGGATCAATGTGAACCTAGAAAGGGAAACTTTAGTTACTTTTGTAGCTGTGGTAAGTATGTGAGGAGGGAGGGAGTGGAAACAGCTCCTGGAGTGGCATAGCATTCTGGGGAGGGGACAGAAGACTCTAGGGGAGCTGGTATCTGAAGAAGAGTTCCCTTCGTTTGCTAAATGTCTAGTTTTCTGGTATACGTCTCATGGTAAATTTTGGACAAGAATTTTTCCCTTTACCACTTCCCAGCATCT